CCCACTAATCAGATTTGAGAACGCCAGATATCATACATTGCACATAGCAAGAAAGAGAACAAACACCCCTATGAAGGCTAGGGTTACCCTGCCCTAACGTTGAAATGGTCTAGGGTTTCACTATTCACATAAGTGGCATCACACATTCAAGCATGGGGTAGCATCTTGCCCTAATTTGGAAGTTGTTAGAGCTTATTACATGCACTAGGTTAGTCTTGGTCAAAAGGGTACCTTAGTGAGACACCGATATACCTACCCAATCTAGTGGATCAAGCGGTACGTGGTGATCCTGAATCCAAGGCTTGTGCTCCCACCATATTAGAGCCCATGACCGTCTATTTTCCCGAAGCTGAATAACCGTCCAAGATAACTAGTGACGAGCACGGGACTTAGGCGCACCAATGCATGAAATGCAATGAACATATAATTGAAAATAAAAGTCATATCATGGAGTTCAAGTCAAGGTTTCTTAATATCTCCATCAGAGCTGCCAGAACCTGTAACACTGCCTGGGGGTTACCCAAGCGTGGTAAACAGTTTGGACCCTCGATTTTTTCAATCTAGTCTCACGAGTGCAATGTGAAATGTAGATAAGAGTCCAAATTTGGAAACTTTTATAGAAAATCCATTTTATTGTAAAAACATTTGCTAGACATAGATTGCGTCATCAGATCTTAGAGTCGCCACCTAATGTTTTGGAAAAATTAGGAAACCCGTGACTTGTGCCAATGCCATTGTTCGTCGTAACTAAGGATGCTTGACTCGGAACCTTAGGTATGAAGGGGGAATGTTATTAATTGAGCACCTTGCTTACCTGATCAGAAGATCGGCTTTTACTAAGCCATGATATGAATTTTATTTGCTTTATATGTTTATATTCCAATTATTAATAATAAATCTTAAACTTTACTATGTAAAGCAAACAAATATAGACCGTGTTACTTGTTTTGGAACAATTTGATTTCGTATATTTTGAAAAATATTTTGAATAGTGCAATCATGAAAATTAATTTTATTCCAAATTAAACAACACGACTTTCATCCACTGGCATGTATAGAGTTATATCAAATAAGCACATAGCCACATGGTAGGATGCTAAACATAGTAAGAAAATCACATATAAGCGGGATACTAAAGCACAAAAACTTATTTACCAATGTCCCACAAACAATTACAAAACAAAGTTAGTAAAAATCATATAATAATCGATTAAACCCATATATGCAAATTTAACCGGATCTTAAGACATGAAACATGGATGCAAAGTATGGATATGATGACAAGGCCAAAATATACTACATATGTGCAGATAAGGAAAGCGAGTGAAAGAACGAGATAGGAAGAAGCCGCAATGGAGAATTATTACATCACTTTAAATATTACAAATCCGAATAAGGGAGGAGAGGAATAAAAATATACAACAAAATTAAATCCTCACAACTCTCTCTATTGAAAATAAAAACAATAAAAACAGAAGCTTCAAGGGGCCCCAGAGACTATTGGAGACTGTTCTGTTTGACATCTGGGGAATTGCTGGGTTTTGTCTAGGAGAAATTGGCTGGCCGGCTGGCCACAAGATGAGCTGCTCGGCTAGAAGGGTAACCAACCAGCCAAAAAGGTAGCGTGCTGGCTAATTAATTGGTCGGCCGGTCAATCAGGCTAGGCCAAAAACTATATTTTGCTTCAAACACCAGAAAAACAAATGGAAAATATGCAAGTGGCTCAACTAACCACTTCCAATTAGCTTACAATAGGTTTATGACATGAAATTTTAGAAAATGGAAGAAAGTAAAAGAAAATAAAAGGTGTGCAAAATTTACCTTCCAAGGAAGCGTTTGATTTCTAAACTTCCTTTTGATCACCCTCAAGTTTAGGAAGTGTGTTCTGTGCCCTCAAGCTTAGGAAGTGTATTCTTAATTCTCAGATTAAAAATTTGAAATTCTTATTTGGAATGGTGTTTTTGGGTGGTTTAACAGTATGTAGGGAAGGGGAGTTATACAACTCTCTATTTTTCTCTCTTTTGATAACACTTACTCTCTTCTGAATCAAAGCTCTTGAATTTGGCTGTAACAGAATTTCTGGGATGGTTTTGATGTATGGAAGATGAAATATTAGTGTATATGAAAGTTTTGTTTCAAAACTTAGACAACTCTTTTCATTATTTTCTTCTCAATTTTTTATTCAATCCTGATACATTTTGATCATTCATATAAACAATGAGAGAAGGCAAAGTCAAGGAGGTGGGAGACAAGGTGGGAGACATGGATGATAAGACGACAAGGATGGGTGAAATGGATGCTCTTTTTTGGGTAAGAGACAAACACCCTTTTGACAATGGAGGCCAAAGGATGATAATGGAGGATGAGTAGGTATACCTCGTGCATGAATGTATTAACAAAAGATCTGAAATGGCATGACCCACACATTTTCAACAAGAATTCTGCCAAAACTGCCTTACTCCTGGGCAAATTAGCCGGCTGGCCAATTTCTTGGCTGGCCGGCCAGAAATATTGGCCGTGGCTTAACTATTTTGCACAAAACAGGATTTTTTGACAGAATTATCATCCTTTCCTCCTATTTTCACATTGTTCTTTGCTCAATTTCCTGAAAAAATGTCTTATTTTGAAGTTTAAAAAGGAGTCTTAGAACACTACGAAAATATTTGGAACAAAGCGCGGAAAGACAGTTTCGAAAGAGAGTTTTGAATGAGACTTAAACACTAGGCCAAAACAAGCTTAGGGTTACGAGTAGAGCTCAAATTCCATATTTCTTACTGAGGATTATATGAGAAACACATTCTTGTTTTCATCATCGGATAATCAAAAGAAAGCGCTTAAGCTTTAGGGCCAGTCAAAATGGGGTGTCTACAGTTGCTCCTCTTTGACAAAACTCGAAGTCATTTCTTGACGTGAGTGAATGTCAAAGCCTGAAAATGACACGTTTGACAAGGCCATAAGACTTGGGCAAACAAACAAGATGCAAATACAGTTGGTTGAACTCGAAGGTTACCTACGTATCCCTTTATAAGGAATCAAACTAGCATAGTTTAGGGATAGAATGCAAATGGCATGCTTAAAATGTAATTGAAAACTGGACTTACACGCTTCACAAAGCCCTTTTTTTTTTTGTTTCTTGAAAATTTATGATTTACAATGCAATGCAACATATAATATGCGAGGATAGCCTCGTGCAAATGATATGAAGCATAATAAGGGATACAATCCAAATATACTCACATAAGAGAAAGACTGTAACCGATGAACAGTTTTAACCTACAACCCAAAACATGGGAGGTATTAACCGAATATGGTTTGAACTAACAACCTGAGAAAGGGATAATATCGTCATCCCAAAGAGCGGCCAGCATTAACTGATGAAAAATGTTGAAATCAAATGTTGATGTGAATAGATTATAGCCAAGTAAAGCAACAGTGATAGTTGTAACCATGCAAATGATATGCTAATGCAATTGAAAGTTGATTTTTTTTATTTTTTTCCTTTTCTTTTTGAAAGTGCATGATTTATGGAATGCAATATTTAATATATGGTGAGGCAAGCCTCATGCAAATGAAGCAAAACAAAGGGGTACAATTCAAACACACTCACATGAGAGGAGGAAAGAGAGGTTTAATCAAATAGCGAGACCTAGACTATACCTCAATACGAAATAGGGGATTGATTTCAATCTGGTAAAGGAGAAAAATGAGTTTTAACCAACAAGCGAGACCTAGACCATACCTCAATACGACATCCATTACCTCTAGCAGTTGCTTTCCGACCGTTGATCACTGACCATTTTTCTACGAACATTTTTTGACATGAATCTCCGATGATCATTTTTCAACTACCACCACCACTACCATTGTCACCACTAGGCAAAAAACAAAAAGATGTATTCAAATTGACTCTTGACAATAAATTTTATTGTATACAACATTTAGACGATAAATTTTCACCATTAGTATCACCATTACCAACCACCATACGTACTATGATTTTACCATTACTAGAAGAAATATTAAACAAAAAATTAATCAAAACATTGAATAAACAATATTACCAAAGTAAATTTTACTTTGTGTTGATAGTAAAATTTTCTTGTTCACAATAGAGATTGAATGGACAACTTCGGTGATTTTTTTTGTCTAACAGTCGTTAGTCTCAAATCTAAAGTTGTCATTTTTAGATATGAGTTCGTTGGTACCGGATTTGAAACGGTGGAGGTTGACAATGAAGACAACAGTCATCGGTGGTAGATTTGAGATAGTAACTAATGGTGGAGATGATGAGCGGCGCCAGCGAAATATGAAGATGGTAGTTGTTGAAATTAGTTCTCATATGAAGAATAAGGTAGTTCATTAATTTAATTCATTATATTTTTTAGTCCTTTAAACCTACAAAAAATTAAACAAAGGATTTTTCCCAATAAAATTAATTAGTGTATCATTTTCCCAATATAAGTGAGTAAAGAAAGTGTTTGAACCAAATATCCCACAGAAGGCTTCACTTTCTTTCATTTGACCATGTGAGGTTTGACTTTATTTTAGAGGCAAGAGAAATACATTTTCAAGTTTTGTCAATTCGGAGTATTGCTAAAGGCCATTACTAAGGTCCTTTACTAAACAGAACAGTATAAATCATTAAGGATCTTAAAAATAGGTCCTAAAGCAATTGCTTACCTTGCCTAATGGTTGAGTCACCCTGTCCCACATCAGTTGCGATGCAGACAATGTCCGAAATCCAAAATGGACTTACAAGATGTGCTCCACATAAGATGCAAACATAGAATGAACTTAGACACTTCTATATGCCCTTTGAGCTTAGAGTCCAAAGAAATAAACCTCTGAAGCTGACTATTAGACTCAGTCTTCATATCAAACAAATACCCCTATTGTCTCCCACTAACAAATATAGCTAGAATGAAATCCTAAATGAATGAACTATATATATGCAAGAAAATAACAAATGGAACCAAAGCTATTAAAGTGAAGAAAATCAAAACATGCAAAAGAAACAGTGCTTAATTAGCTCCACTCATTTTGAGCAAATATCTCCATACATCTCAAATCCTGGCACAAGTAGTTCTACACTCTTAATATCCTCAACCATTGCTATATATCCTACTTTAAACAAGATATGCTACATAAAACTATAACAATCTAATGAACACTATATATATCAGAAACTAATGAGTATTTGTCAGGCATGCTTCTTTCTTTCATCAAGAAATATTTGATACCTGCTCGCTCCTTTCGGACTTTTGTAACTCTTCTTCTCAATCTTGGCAGTGAAAGTATAATCTAGCATAGTAGGATGTTGACTTAGTCATCATCTGGTTCAGCCGAGAAATCAGGCTCTTCAGGCTTCTGCAGCTTTGGTAATTCAACATCCTTCATCTTCTGAATCCCTCTCCTCGTGTTGGCAGCAAATCTTGAAGCCAGAATGGTCACACCCAGGTTCTGTTTTGCCTGAGAAGAAGTTGTGGACGATGATGATGGAGCATTATCATCCTTTTCTTCATCCTCTCTTTCAGTTTCATCAGCCAATCGCTCATCAGAAGCAAATGAGAATGACTCTCTCATGCTGAGGTTCTTTGCCATCAATCTCCTCTTGAATCGGTGCCAAGCAGCCTGAATGAAGCACGCAGCCCACGTCCTCCAGTGGTAAGAGTAGAACCGAAACGTGTGTTGTAGCTGTTTGCTGTGAAGACGTCTAAACTGATTTGCCACAAACTTGAGATCTTCTGCTTGCAACGCAAAGGCTTCTACTTCAACAAGTGCTCTAACTGTTCTTGTGGATGATGGCAAGTTAACAGTTGATTTTGGAAGCAATGCCCAAGCAAGTAGTTCCTCTCCACAGAAATCACCCGGTCTCAAAGTAATTGAATTGAAGAAACCCGTGCGCCCTCCGTTTGTGGTGGAGCTCTCTAGTCTCCCTCTGATGATAAAAAGCATTTCTGTCACGGGATCACCCTCACGAACTATGTAGGTGCCTTGTGTACTTAATGATGATACTAGGTGCTTGCATATGGCATCAAGTAGTTGATCCTCCATCTGTGAGAAAAACGGAACCTGCAATGGGGAGAAGTTAAGATCAGAATGTGGCACTTATTACACGAAGTGGGGGCAGGGGCGGGGATGGGGAAGTAAGGACCTATAGCAGTTTCTAATATTGAGAGCGTGCCTATATTTTATATGTTAAATATATAATATATTCAAACAATTATTTTTTCCCGCTTAGTTGTAATATATATGTATTGAAATATGAATTATTATTGTAGATTAATGTCAATTACAAATCGTCTTAGTCAAATATAAATAAAATATATATGTATTGAAATATGAATTATTATTGTAGATTAATGTCAATTACAAATCGTCTTAGTCAAATATAAATAAATATTACATGTAAATAGAAAGTACTAGAATATGTTTGAGTTTTTTTTTTTTTTGAGATTTGTAGTTGGGAGCGAGTTTCTTTCTCGTCGGGATGGGAGCAAGCTTCTTATCGGTTTCTTACTTGGGAACACGGATTTACGTTTCTGAATAAGAAACGTCACCTAAGCAGAAAATTCCTGCTACTAAGCCAAAGATGTTAGGAGATGAAAATCTATAGCACTTGATTCCAATATCAGGGAAACATCTTACACGTCGAACAAGGTCTACACAAAGGTGGCGTTGGATGTCTTTACGTAGATCTGTAGGCAAGGCTTGTAAAATTGACTCTTCATCGACTCCACGTGTTGCAAGCCACTTGTATTGCCCAAAATGGCGCACGCGTTCTTGCAAATCTTGAGGGAGCTGCCGATGTCTCATCCACTCCTCAGTGTCTCGTTGCTTGAGTCTCCACTCTTCAAGCCTCATGGTGAGAGATTGCAAGTAGGTCTGCACTTAAAAGAACGTATATAAAGGACATGCTATACAACTTCAAAAGAATGTAAACAATAAAAGGAGACCAAAAAAAAAGAGTTTAATAGTGGACAGTTGGAGAGCACAGTTACCAATATTACACACACACACACACACATATATGAGAGAGAGAGCAGTAGGAAAGAAAAAAAAAACTTAGACTGACTGTATGAACCATTTTATTATTGAAAGGCACAATGAAATTTATAAAAAAAAGGCATTTGACACAGAAAAAGGAAAAAAAAGTAGTAAGAAAAAAGTCTTCAAACACCTACAATCTATCCAAGTGCAGATACCTCCAAACCTGCCACTCATACACACAATCCAATGCTAATCCCATATAATCCAGTCTGTCCAAACAAACATAGCCATAGTGTACATGTTTAGCCCTCAAAGGACACGTGGTCCCCCTGTTCCGCCATACATATATGCCAAAAGGAATACCAAACCCAAGGGGCTACGGCAAAAATGACTTCCAAAGTGAAGACTGCTTCCCAGACATGAAGGACGATCTTAGGAAAGGTGCAACCTTAAATATAACAATGCACTAAGAAGTCTTTTTACAGAATAGGTCATAGTATGGTCCTAACATGGTTACGTAGCAGCTATATAGAAGCAAACACTTGAGGGAAAGGCTTGCCATATTTTTGAAGTCCGGCAGAATACACGTGTTTTGTAAATATATAATCAAACATGTAAATATACATATTTATAGATAAATTTTTGCATCCACTTGAGGATTACATGGGCTTTTTCCTGATTATGAAATTGCAAGAGCAGGTGTAAAACACTGCTAGCAGTACTATACGTTTTTCCTCATGACAAAGTAGGGAATTATTTCCATAATGTCCATTGAATCATTATTAAGTTTCAATTCTGTAGAAGAAACACACAATAATTGAGACGTGGGCTTTAATTGACTTTTGACAACAAGTATGGTTCTTGAGACTTCAAAAGCAGTAAAAGGGAACAAGGATTCCTGAAAGTACCTGCATGTTTCCTATCAAATGGGCAAACAAAACCAGACCCAAGATGGCTATGAGTATCGCAAATGCAGTTTCGCCAATAAATGTACTTGTAGACAAAGTCTGGCCATAAGAACTGCAAAAAATTTAGACAGCACAAGAACAGTTGATCATTTGGGTTAAGATTCAACAAAGACTAACGATATGAAATAAATCTTAGGAACATAGAACAATGACCTAGCTTGATCATGCTCAATGTTAGATAGTTGGGCTTCATATGCTACCATCTTCCTCTATGTAACAGACAATTCGCATGTCCTATTAACATATTGAGCATCCTTTCTTTTCTTTTGCTTCATGTTAATTAAAAATACAGAAATAAGTAGATCCCTCTTCTTCAGCAGTTAAAATTTCAAAAAAAACTCACAATTTACTACTGATACATTTTCTTTTGGTTTTGCACAAGATATCTCAAAAAACCAATAAAATATATCCAATAAGAGTTATGCTAGGGATATACCAAATGTCTCACATGAGTGTGGGTCCCACACGATCCCACATGAGTGAGGGACCCACATCCATGTGAGACATTTGGTCAAAAATTTGGTAAAATTTTTGGGGCCTCTAGCATTTTTGATCCAATAATTACCTTGTTTGAAGAATATCCATATTTCTGTCTTTAAGTTGATCATAAAAGATCATTCCAGTCTATTAGGTTCGTGTATCTTGATCTATATAGAGTTAAAGTTTCAAAGCCAAAATATGGTCCAAAAAAAAAAACTCACAGGGAGTTCAAATTCCCAACCCTTTATGAATGTCAAGACTACAGCTCTGCTGATAAGCTCTCTCAGAGCCAAACAAAGATACATAGTAGACTAAAATTTGGGCATCACAAAAAATTGCTTCTAGGAAAGCCTCATAATCTTCCAATGGTAAGACACATATGACTAGTAGCTAATAGGATCACAATAAATAAATAAATAAATAAAAGATGAATTTTACAGTGTTTGTAAATAGATAGTTTGTTGAGAAGATCATACCTTAAGTTCTGTAACCCCCACCACAAACAATAGAAGTACTTCTCAAGGAACTTCGAGTTGACGACATTGTTTGTTACTGCATTTTGAAATATCCCATAATTGAAACTGATAGTGTTAGCAGGATTGCAACTACTAAACACTGTAGTACTATTTGCCCACGATATACGGTCCATGTTGTTCAAAGTACCACAATCCAAAATGGGGAGAGCATCTTATAGGGCTGATTTCATGTTTGCAAACTGATTTCCAGCACGTAGCATACCGTTCAATTGACAACAGATACCAGGATGCCCCTAAGATCTACAATAACAAAAATCTTATACATTGCAAAAGTGCACTCAAAACACTGAAAATATTAATTTAGCAAAGACTGCAATGTTCATTTTTATTGTAAAAAGAAGGGGTCAGAGAAAAGGGAGAAAAGGGAAAGAGAAGTTACACATACATGACTAGCTAACATATACAGAAGGAGATTATACGCAGCGCCTGCCCAAGCAGTCTTTGCGACAACTCCTGTAGCTTTGATTATCTGAGAACTTAATGGGAAAATCAGATATAATCGAGGAATATACTGAAACAGGACAATCAGTGCAAGGGCATTGTTGGTGTGATCAGCATCGGAACTTCTAATTGCAGGTATAATGAACCATCTGACAATCTGCCAAAACAGTTTAACCTTAGTTTATTAACTAAGACAGTATAATTTCTCTTGATTTGATTAGTTCACTATTCTCACTATTCATTAAAGAAATTGATTAGCACAAAGCATCAGGAAAAAAATATTAGCACAAAGAAGAAAAAAAAACCAAAATACAATATTATTGTAGAAACCTTATATTACATCATCAAAGTCTAATAACTCATATCCATCGCTCACTAAATAGAAAATGAGGTTAAAATTAAGATGTCACGCCAAGATTTGAGCTGTGAATAAACCTTCAGATTTTTGTTTTTTCCTTCTATTTTTGGTTTGGTCACTAATTGTATAATTTTGTAAGAAAATATAAACTCTATGAAGTGTGTTTGGTATGGTCCCGTTTTTGGTTTCTGGTTTCTTTTCTTGAAAATCGAAAAACAGAAACCAAAACAGTTGCAATATATATTCTTCCAAGAAATTAATAATGAAAACAAATTCAAGTACCTGAGGAAGAGGCAGTGTTGCAATGACATCTATAAAGAAGTCAGATTTCAAATACCTTCTTGATATCTTCTTAGGATCCATAACAAGTTCACCTCTACCAAAAACCCTAGAACTTGGGGATACATAAGCGGTCCGAAACTTGATAAAAACATGTAACGAATAGAAAATATCTGCAATTGTTCTAAAGCAGGTGACAATAATTCCCAGATTTAAATCAGTAGTCATACAAGATGATGAATTGCTATCACTCACTACTACTAATGAAGGAAGGTAAAAAAACAATGGATCTACAAAAAGTGCAACCAAACACGAGAAAAGGAAAATTCTGTTCCATTGCAAGAAAACTTCACTTCCTGGATCAATAATTTTCTCCCTCCATGATTTTTTGTGATGATTTTCCGGGAAAACTTTAAAACCCCCAAATTCGAGACTCCCCTTTGTTCTAGTTTTCTCATCAATTCCACTATCAGGCTTGGACAAAGGTGCTGAAACTTTGTACAGAACAGAGGGTTTTTCAAGGTTTTGGTTTCCATCATTGTGAAACCTATGAATTAATTATCAAACCCATTAATCGAATTACTTGAAATGAAATGGGAAATGAAAATCGGAGGAAATTGGTAGAAAATTACCTCACTTGCTTGCCTTTCTTGAACTCCATGCTTTGTAATTTGGTTCAGAATTGAAGATGAAAAGTGAAAGAAAAGATCCAAATAGTGATTAGAGCTCTACCCATTTGAATTCTTGTTGGATTTACTACTCTTCATTCATTGGTTTGGATTGAAAATGGATTTGAAGTGTTCCCAAAATGGGTAAAAACAGTTCATTTTGAACATGTTATCAAACCAGAAGCCATACTAGTTTCAAATCAACTACGAAAATTTGGAGACTAAAAGGAGGGAGAGAGAGAGAGAGAGAGGATTGAATTGAGCTGAATGAATCTCTTTGTGGTGGGCGGTGGTTGTCTTATGCGCTTGACTTGCCATTGTGGCCTTTCTCTCTAATAACTGACAGTAAAGAAAAGAAAACACAGCTCCCTACAGTTCGTTATTTATGTCCAAAAAGGATTGAGTCCTAAGTGAGGGAGATGTACAATTTTTTTTTTTTTTTTTTTTTTTCTTGTTCTTGTGGGTTTTGAAAGTAGAAGGCCTTTAAATTTGATCCATATTTTAGAGGGAAAAAAAAAACTTCCCAAATTTTATCCATATTTTTTGACTTTGAAAAAAATAGTGGAAGAGGTTACAATACACACTTGAATATTGTAAAAAAAAAATTATATTTTTTGTGAGAGTAGTAGTATATTTTGTGAGATAAAAGTTATGATTTTTGAAGTTATAATGTGCACCCTAAAAGTAATATCTAATTAAAGTATATTTTTTGTGAGAGAAGTTATACATTTTGTAATAAGAAAAAAAAAAAGTTAATTTCTATGATAAAAGTTATACATTTTGTGAGAGAAATTATACTTTTTACATAAGGTGCATATCACGTGCACCCAACAAGGGGTGCACATTGTAAACTTTCCCCAAAATTGTTAGCTTATTTGGTTCCAATTTTTTGAATTCAATTTTTTAAAAATTGAGTTTTTATTTTTAGTGTTTTTTAATATTTTAAATATTTTTTTTTACTTTTTATATGCACCTAACTTAAATGTATCTAAAAAGAAAAATATTAATAAAAAATATTTAAAATAATCAATAAATACACAAGAATACAAAAATTTACTGAATTTATATATATATATATATATATTATTTTTCAAATTTAATGAATTTTTTAAAGATTTTTTTTTCTCACAAATGTTATACATTTTAATTGTGTTTATATTAAGCGTCTCTAAAAAGTAAAAAATTTACTTAAAATATTAAAATATTCACTAAAAATAAAAAATATGAAAAAATAAACTCAATTTAAAAAAAATTGAATTCAAGAAATTGAAACCAAATAAGATGATAGTTTACACAAAATTAGTAAATTTTACTGCCTATTTTCATTAAAATTTGTACAAAATCTTTAAGAATTTCATTGTATATAACAAAATACAAAAATGTACCAAATTTTCAATTTTTTGGCCAAATTATGATGGTAGCCCTTATATTTTAATCTTTGTGTCATTTTAGTCTTTGTAATTTCAATTGACTTGATTTTGACCTTGAATTTATGATTTTGTCTCAATTTTGTCCAATTAAATTATAATTTACTCAACTCAGTGAGTTGACCTTAACCAATTCAGTTTACAGAAAAATACGCTTTTGGCGACTAAAAAATTAATCGCCAAAGTCTGGTTTTTAGTTGCCGATTGTCAATGGCAACTAAAATTTTAAGTCATCCAATTTAGTCGCCGGAGGCTTGTCGACAAAAGTATTGGCAACTAAATTTATGTTGGTTGCTAACACTCTTCTCTTTGACTACTAAAATGAACTTAGTAAATAATTGACACATTTTGGCGACAAAAGGTTTAGTCGCCGAAAATTTTCAAACAAAAATAAAGGTCTCTTTGAACGATTAAAATATTTATTCACAAATATGTTTTAGTTGCCGAGACATACTACATTTACCGACTAACTGTTTTAGACACAATTTTTGTCACATTTAGCCACCAAAATCATAAGAGAGTTTTTGCCTATATTTGAATAATAGGAAGGTAATGTGTTCGGAGGCCAAATCACAAGGAAGTAAAGTGAATTTTGCCCTTATTTTTTTAAATATTCTTTGTAAATATATTTTTGCAAAAAGAATATTTAAAATAAAATAAAATAAAATAGTGAGGAAAATTAAAATGAAATGACGTTGGGTGTGTTATATAAAGTGTTAAAGGATATTTTCGTCTAAAAAATAACAATGTAGTAATAGAATGTGGTCAAAATAAAATACACCAATAGCTTATAGGGTTCATTTGAATGCTTTAGGCAAAGCGATACTTCTTAATAATTTAAGATGTTTATTTATATGTTTTTAAAATTTAAGAAATCAAAATGATATTTTTCTTAATAATTTAGAGGGTCTTCATATGAATAACCCTAAATATTATATAAATGGTTGATGATTATTTAACTAATAGGTCACTATATTTGGATTGAGTGATTTGGAGAGAAAAGAAAAGAAATGAAGAGAAATGTATTTCTCTTACTTACTTGGATAACCTAAGTAGAGAGAAATGGAAAGAAATGGAGAGAAATGGACAGAAACTCATTTCTCTTATAAGCCTCATTTTCAATCTTCCCAAAAGTGGAGAGATTGGGAGAGAAAAGAAACCACTATTTTCATAATACCATTTTTGTCCCTATAAAAATAAAAGAAATAAAATGATTGAAAATATAAAAAGGTTATTTTAGTAATATAAGATAAAATAATTTCTTTTCTTTTCTTTTCTTTTAATGAAGTCTAACCAAACAAGAACGAGAGAAATTACAATTATTTCATTTTTTTCTTTTCTCTTATAATTTAAATAATCATTTCTTTTCTTTTTTTTCCTAAGTTGCAAACATAAAACAGTCAAAGCCGTCCAAACTTCAATTTAATCACAGATAACAAAATTATCAATCCATCACCCATAAATCAATTTTAATTTTAATTTTATAAATTTCACCACTAATTTGAATTTTTTTTGGAATAAAAACAATTTATTTATTATTATTATTTTTTTTTGGTTGAAAGTGTACAATGTAGATGTTTGGCAAGAAGGTTTGGGTGGGTTAGGGATTAAAATAACCACAAAAAATAAAATAGGCTATTTTAATCACAAAAAATAAAATATCAAATTCAACCCATAATCATTACAATCATCTCTCACAAAAAAAATCAAAAAGTCAAAAAATTCTCCCCAAACTAGGTTAAAATAGCCTAGGCTAAAATAGCCAAAAAGTCAAAAAGCCAACTCACTTCCTAAACGGAGGTTGAATGTGATTTATACTTTTTTGAGTTAATTTGAAAGAATATATAGTATTATCATATACTATATAATTATAAAAAATAAAAAATAAATTATAGATAAAATGGTAAGTATTTTATTATTATTATTATTATTATTATTATTATTATTATTACTATTATTTTACTAGTATTTACACAAAATATGCTTGCATGAACCATCACTAAAATTATATATTAAAACTTACTTACATATATTAACGCATGAAGAAAAATATTACAAATTCAAAAAAATTTAAAATTGGTCTTGTTGCTTCATGTTAAGTTTTTGTTATTGCCAATCATGTTTAACAAAATTCCTTTTAGTTGTAAATTTATTCGATCTTTTATTTCAGTGAGGTTATGAGTATTTAGATGCAAATCTAACTAGAATTGTGCCTTGCAGAGGAATTTGTGATCTTAATCCTTTCATATTTGCCACTTCACTCACTATGTACGGGGATCGAGTTGCCCAGTCAACTTGCGGGGGTCTAGGAGGCAGCGCCCCCGAAGCAAAAAACACAAACACAGTCGAAATTGTTTGACCGCTCAAGCGATCATTTATGTGCTCAAGCGAAGAAAATGATCATCCAATATTTTTGTAGAGCACCTGAATTTCTGGGAAAAAAGTTTTATCGCTTGAGCAGTGAAAGTTGCGCTCGAGCGTTCAGTCTATATATTTCACACTGCCTTTAGTCACACCGTTCGAGTGGTGAAATGTGCGCTCGAGCGGTCTGTGCGATCCTATTTTATTTAAAGTGTAATGTCCACTATTTTTAAAGTTCAAGCCGTCTAGAATTTTAGAGAGGAAGAAAAAAACGAAGGTTGTGTTTGATAGAATTTTAGAATTATGATTTGAGAATAGAGTTGTATTTTGAGTTTATGAGTTTTTGAATTATGATTTGAGTGTGAAAAATTTGTTTGGTTATGAGTTTTAAAAAGAGTTTGAATTGAGTGATGTGACATATAATATTGAAAAATTGGTGTTTTAAAAAGTGTTTTGAAAAGTGAGTGTGAAATTAATTTTCTAAAGCTTTAACCAAACAACACACTCAAACCAAGGGATAGAATTAAATTTCAAAAGCTCTACCAAACAGAGCCTCGTGTTTTATATTGGAGGCTATTTTATATGAGTTTTTTTTGGTGTATAGAAGGTGATCGATTGATTAACAAACTTCAGATTGTTGAACATCAAGGTTGGTATTTGTGGGGGCCGAATAGATTATTACGTAGATTAGCCGAATAACTTAAAGAAGGAAATCAAGTCATGTACTATACGGCTCTATCCCAGAGGGACAAAGGCTGAATAACTAGATCGGCTGAAGAATTAGGTGTAAACCGGGCCGAATATGAACAGGTAACCGAATGAGCGATTGTTCATTGGACGAAAAGTGGGCCCAACCATCAACATCAAGGACGACTATAAATAAGAAGAGCATCAGCTAAAAAAGGTATGTGAGAATAAGTAAGTTTAACTTGAGATATAAACAACCAAGAGAGTATACACTGACTTATCCGTTGGAGTGCTAATTCTGGCACCCCCGACCAGAGTGTTCAATCATTTTCAGGTGACTAGCTGAGGATCACGAGCATCCTACTGGATCCAAAGAGTATTTCCAAACCACTTCTCCACAATTGGCACTGTCTGTGGGAATACTTCAGCACATCCATGGCGGGCGTGACGGAAGATCCTCCCGTAGTCACTGACGACCTTACGCCACGAGATGATACCACTCCAAGCAACATGCTTGGGCCAGAGAACATTGTCGCACGAAGGGCCTTGAACTTCGACTTAGTTGCCCAGACCTCACCTCGACATCAGCATATGAGACAATACAAGCGATTATGGATCAGGCGAAGCAAAACGAACAGAGGTTGGAAAACATGATGGTTGAGAACGAGTGCCTTCGACAAGATTTGGCCTTGGAGGTGGCAAAATCCCAACAGGTTGCGTGCTAAGATCCGAGATGACCTCTAAGAAAGGATGGTCGACTACCTCGAATTCGGAGACAAGATAGTGGCAATGATTCTGACTCATCATCTCCATAATCCAAAAAAAAGGGACGAGTCGAAGTCCCTAGTTCTTCTGAAGGGAGTCCGTGTGCACGGAATAAA